TTATCTGGATGGTCCTAAATGTAATCACAAGTGTTCTTGTAAGAAGGAAGCGAGAGAGAGAGAGAGAGAGAGAGAGAGAGAGAGAGAGAGAGAGAGAGACAGGACACGAACAGAAGGCAGAGGTGATCTGTGGCAGAAGCAGAGGGAGAGTGAGGCTGCTCTATTCCTCACTGGGGGTGAAGAGGAGGGAGGGCCTGGGAGCCAAGGGGTGCAGCTCCAGAGAATGGAAAAGACAAGACAAGGGATTCTGCCTTGGGGTCTCTGGAGAGAGTGCACAGTCCAGCCCATGGCTTGGTATCAGCTCAGAGAAACACATGACCTAATTCTAGCCTCCCAGACTGTAAGAGAGTAAACGCATGTTGATGATTTGTCCCAGCAGCCTTAGGAGGCAATGCAGCATCTCTTTTGATTGATGGCACTTTCCAATGCTGAGGGACCTCCTAGCAAGGAGCTCGGGAGGTCGCTGGGCTGTTTGGAGTGCACGCTGCACAGCGTGGAAAGCTAGCTTTACTGTTCGCCATTTCTCCTACTAGCAACCATCCTGTGGGTTTCTTTCCATGAGCGAGAGCCGGCACCGATGGAGGCCTTCAAAAATGCACAATGGATGGATGTATGGATTGTGATGAGTTGTCTGAGCCCCCAATAAAATGAAAAAGAAAAGACAAAAAAAATGCAAAGTGGAGAACTCAAACTTTCGAAAAGCCAGGGGTTACCTGTACTCCTCTGGTTTGGGCTGTGTTTAGGTTATAGAAATGACTAGCTATTAGCACACAAGAGCTGTTACTTGTTATTCATTTAATGGCAACAATCACTTAAAAATAAAGATGCTTTGTAAAGCAAAGTCAAACATCCCTTGTTTATTTGTTTTCATAACTGTGATCTCAAAAATAGCTGTCCGTTTGTGATGGACAACCTTCATCAGCAAATCCACCCATTATCATGAGCTGTGTCGTCATTGCATCATTATTCTGTAACGCTACATAGAACTCGTTGCATGTGTGTATATTGAGTTTATTTATCCACGCTCCTACCTTGGGACCTTGCGGTGGTTCCCATCACGCGCTCTCGTGGAGAGTGCTGGTATAGACACGGGGTGCATAGGTCTACTCCTGTGGCTCCT